TCAAAAGTCTGTACGCCGTTATGCTTTATGAACACATTTACTTATGACTCTCAAAGGAGATGAGATTTTTTGAACTATACAGGTTAACGGACCGATTTTCGAGCCTTTCAATCGCATCACGCAAGTCATACGGAATTTCGGCATTTTATGAATAATAAGAAAGTACTGAACATAAATACTCTATAATATAAAATTAGTAAATGAACCAAACATTAAAAATGTGGTGTTATTTTTTTTTTTTGTAAGAATAACATACATCAATTAAACCCATTTAGTTTTATATTTTATTATATAATTTTTACAAAAAACTATCATATTTATATGTTCAATGGTTGCAATAACCAGTTACGTCCAATTTTGTTTTTGGACATAACTGGTTATTGCAGCCAACTAATTAACCAAATATAACCGTACTCTTTGTTTATGTTGATCTGTAGACCCTCTAAAAAATTTAACAGGCCAATGACTAAAAAGAAGAAGCGATAGTGATCGTCTCTTATCTTTCAATTTGATATTAAAAGAAAGTACCAAAGTAACGAAGTAGTAATATTATTATCTTATTCATGTGCATCATCTTGTGGTCGGGTAGATTATCTTGGTTTAGTTTAGGCTAGTAATTATTCTTTAGAAATGTGCCGTCTTAAGTCCCGGCTACTTGACTGTCCGCGCCGAGTACATCTTTTCAACATTTTTCTTCTTACGGTAATTATATATTATATTCTGGGACGCTTACTTACAAAGTAATCGTATCCGCAGTTTGTTTGCGTACACCGCGGTTCTTTCGAGTAGCACAATTATCGTTGTTAAAGACAAACGATACTTGGGGCCTTTTCGTTTCATTCTGGTTAGGTAAAGCCGATAATGATAAAATCGACAATGATAAAATCTTAAAAATTGGAAATGGAAATTACGTTCAAATAATCATCGCAATCGTTTTTAAAATTGTGCCATTAAACTGATACGGACTAACAACGGATACCACAAATCGAATAGTGTGTGTGTGTGTGTGTAATAAGTATGTAAGTAAAGGGCACAGAGCACAGACGACACTATGATGGCTTCGCAGAAGTTTCAATGTGTATAGCTAACGGCGGCGGCGGCGGTCGATGGGAAAGTTGTTATCTGCTGCTCCTTGAATGGTCGACAGCAACCCCTTCACAGCGTGCGCCCGATCAATATCTGCGCAGATAAGAGGGGTGGAAGAGGGGAAGGCGACGCCACCGACCCCTCCGGCGGGGAATCCCCGGCGTTTGTGTTGCCGCCATCTTGATTTCACACCTCTCTTCCGCGATGATAAAATTCAAGATGTCGGCGAACGGGGCCGGGGGGCGACGGCGAGGGGTAATAACCTCCCCTCACCCCCCGGAAACGTCTTATCCGCGTGTGGGCATTTAGATCTTCTCAGTGTGTATATTTATTACGGTCTCGTCGAGTATGATATTATATTACTATGTATGTGTACGTATACATAATACACACACACCGGGTTTTATAAATATTTAAAATCGAACACGATGCACTCACTCGAATAAGGTCGTTTCACGCGAACCGGTGGACCGTAAGTAAGTAAGTAAGTAAGTGAAACCAATTTGATTTTTGAAAAATTGTTTTTAATACAATTTTCCTGATAAAAAAATATACACGGAAAATCAATTTATCCAGAGACGGCCTTGTACAGGGTGATTCTGTTTTAACTATTATAAATACTATAAAAAAAATAAGCAACTCGATTTCGCATAACGTTCCCTCAATTACCCAAAAACCATATCGGCCGACCATCTCTAAATGGGATTTTCCCCCTCCCAATTTTGGGCTTTTTAATTTGGCCCGCCGCGGGTCTTGCCGTTTTATTATATTATATATACAAAACTCGGAAGACATAAAATTAATTTTGCCCGTCTCTGTTTGTTTTGTGCTGTCTAAGTATTTCTTTTTTTTTTTTTTTTACTGCGAATACCGGCCGTCTTAAGTCGGACGTTTGCATAATGTTGTTTATTGTTTACCAATTTAATGTACTATCAACAGCTGTGTTAAAAATACCAACCGACTATTTTGACTATTTCACTAGTACTTTAATTAACTTACCCGGCAAGTTGATAATTTAATAAAATTAAATATAATATAATATTCTTATTAATCGAATAATAAGTGAAATTAAGGTTTCAGCAGCCTAATCCATGGCCATGCCTTAAATTCCTATCGGGTTTGATAGGAATTATGCTCTAAATAGACACTTATATACCTACTTAGTTAAAAACTGTTTAACCCGTTAAACCTTGTAGTCTTTTATCTCTTTTGGTATTTTTACATGCGATTGCGATAACATTACTATGTAACTTTTATTTACCGTTTTTGTTAATCTTATGCGAGTGCATGCACTTGGATATTATTATCAAGCTTGTGGTGAGGTATGCATTTTTGGAAACCAAATAATTGTCGTCGGTGTTGTATTCAGATCTATGTGATACACTTGAAAATTGCAAAACACTATTGTTACAGCCATATCACTCGACTTGATGCGGATAAGATTGTATCAGTAGTTTTTGAGTTTACACGGTTAAAGTCAGTTTAATCATGATCGACCGTTATCGACTACACGAGGACAACCGTACAATTTCAAATATTCAATACATTTTCAAACAATGTATCAAATGCCCTTTGTGATCTAAGCTAGTTTTTTGCACATATATTGACAAAAATCAACACTTTATCCCATCAAAATAAACTACATCTTTGTTGTACATACATATTATTATTGTCAGCTGTGTAATGTGTATTTTTTTTAAGCAAAATCATTACCTTGCGGATCCAAAAGCGACTTGAGTCGAAAAAATTTAATCAACCACAACCGCTTATAATATATATTGAATGCGTTTTGGTATACCGAATGACTCTCGAGGGGTTACAAATGCATTCACACGAGTCTTTAATCTGACGCCACACTGACGCTGCTACGACACTTGGATTATTGATGGCCTTTTGTTGTTCACCCAAAAATACTCTATCATTTCATATAGCACACGGTGTCATATTATTTTGTAAATAATTCTTCACATCAGTAGGTATAACACAGTGTACAGTCGCGTGAAACCAACAAATACATGAACTTTGTTTGCCAAAAACAGTGTCGTTATAATATTATTTTTCCATACAGCAGTGTAATAATATTCGGGGTCGCGTTAAGGGAAGAGGAGCCAAGTGTCCCGGAGCCGGTATAAGTTAAGGGGAGGGGGTGCTAATTTTATAATATTGACGGGGGGGAAAGGGGAAGGAGCAGGGCCTTCGGGATGATACTTTTAGCGCTGGCAAAACTTAACGACAAAGCTTAATTGTTATTTTTTTTTTTTATGTACCTCCGCAGTAAGGTAAAGAAATACCGAGACTATATTTTCCGCATAGTATAACGCAGTACAAACAAATAAAAATAAAAAATAACAGCAATAAAACAAGTAAACCCGCTGTGACGGTGTAAAAAGCTCACTCTCTCTCTCTTATCCGGTTCGTCTGATCTGTCGCATTATTTTTTAGGCAATTGAACTTTTGGGTTTATTCGAGGGAAAAATAACACTATATATTATATAATAAAACATATTACTATATTTTTTTTTTCTTTTATGTAACCTTACTGCCGAGTTCGGACTCGACGGGGGCGGTTTCACGATAGCACCATTACAGGCGCGAAGGAGCGAAGGCGGGCAAATAAATATAATTGAAAGGATACAAAAGGTCGGTGAAGATTTTTTTTTCTTATTTTTTATTTTTTTCATCTTTCACCGCGACGTATATCATCGCGTTTGAAAAAAAAATTATTATTATTATTGTTATAACAATCCCGGGGGGGGGGGGGGTGACGGGTTAGGTTTTGAGGGGTGACAAAGGAATACCGATAAGAACGTCGCTAAGGGTGTGTGGGTACTACGGTGGTGGAGAGGACGTTATAGGATGTAGTACAACATAACCGGGATACGGTCGGAGAGGGGTAGGTTGTGATTGAAGGGTGTGGTGGGGTGAGGTGGGGTGGCAGGGATGAAAAAGGGAGGAAAGGACGGGCGGGCGGGCGTGGCGGCAATCTGGATGGCGCTGATAAGACGACGCCCGTAGTTACCGGCCGCCGGTTACCATGGTTACCGCGCTTTGCGGAAGCAGCGCCCGTGTCATACCGGAAACGATGCTACCTCGGAGATTTTCTCGTTACACACATAAATGTACATATATATA